TATATATTTCTATTCACGGGATCCATCCTGTGACTCACCAGGATGTACTTGTGCTTCATTTGTTTGTATTTCTCACAACATGCTCCATTTACCTTTCTAGGTCTTCAATCAGCTGATTGAGTAACTTCAGCCACACCTCAGCTAGCTGGTTGTCTGAGACTTTTGCCAAGATTGCCGTTTTAAATTCCTCCAAGTTTGATTGCTGCAACAACAAAACAGTGGTGAGGATTATGTTCCCACCTCGCGGAGTTACAAACACATGTCAAACATTAGCAGAGCCGTTTCAAAGCAGGCTCTGTACAGGCAATGAATCCTAAACTCAACTGAAAGCATTCATTGCAGTATTACCAAGCGGTGAGTAATGTAGAGGATGATGTTGACAGAGTCCAGACGGTGGCTGATGTCTTCCCAGTATGAGGTAACCACAACCACTGGCTTAGTGTTTGCCCAGGGCAGGTAGTAATAATGATTACCTGGAGAAAAATGACATGCCATTAAAAATCATGTGGTCATTCAGTGCTTGAGAACATCATGTATTCAGTGCAGATATCACCACTCACCATCAAATATAGCACAACTATATTGTGTGGTGGAGGCCAGCGGTTTGCAGGTGGTGTCCAGTTTGTTGCCATAATTACCGATGCTGACCTCGAACTGGATTGGTTCTCCAGGTTCCTGAATCATTGAGGCGCTGTGGAAGACTGCACAGAGGCAGTATTTTCTCCTCCTCTGGTATTTCTGATTAAGGAGGAGACGCAGAACAGAGAAAGAGAGGTAGAAAGTTGTTGACTATAGGCTGTATATAAAAGATGGCCATAGCTTCTGGTCTTAAAAACTGAACCCAGAGCTAAAGGTGCCTTAAAAATGCATTGTTCCTAATGGAAAGCAGGGGGTGACTATTGGTTCCAAAAGGAAACCCAATTCTATGTCCATGAGAAGTCTCTGACAAAATTAGTCAGCCTTTCACACGATTCATTGGCTCATTAAACATTTTTCTAAAAATCTTATGATTTCAATAACTAGCTTATAATCTTGTTGTTTATTTTCTAATTTATGGGCTCATTGAGAATAACATGGAAGATAAAGCAGGGTACACCTTAAGCCAAGATTGACAAGTCACTCATATAAGGGTGATATCCAAATATGCATCCATCTTTTATATACAGTCTATGGTTTTGACCTATGAAAAAAGTAACTGGAAAAGTGAAAATGGAAACCAGCCACACGACAGTCAATACCTGTACCACCAGGACGTCATCACTGTGGATTTTGTCTACTGCTTTGTCTGCTTTCCCGTCTAGCTTAGTGGACAGCTCGACCAGAATCCTGCCTCTGTACGCCACGCCTTCTCCCTTTACAAGGACAACATAATGAAATCTTAAAAACCCAACAAAGGCGATTGAAGAAAAAGCATGAAAGAGAAATTCATAAGATAGCAGTTATCGTGTCTTCTCCACTACCTTGCCCAAATTGAGATCCTCATAGGGGTCTGGGAAGCCAGTGAACTCTCTGGGGCTGCCATACAAGTTGATATAACAGGGCCCAAACACAGGCAGGAAGCCCACCTCAGACTCCCCTGAGTTACCTGGAGAGAGAAAATGGCAAAACAGTCAAGCTGATATAGTGAAGCAAAGTCAAGCTAAAGCGAAAGGTTTGATGCCACTAGGTGTTACTAGGTGACTATTGGAGGTGGCGGGTGGAGGCAGTGAATGGTGGGGCAAGCAGGTGCAGAGACTGTGACAGCAAAACATTCAATATGAAAACAGAGCAACACACAGTTATATTGGCAACAGGGAACAAAGAAAGTTAGACATAATCAACATTGTAGCACGAGCATCATGCGCTATGACCCATGCAACACAGAGCAAAAAGAGAAACCTTCATAAGACGCCGTTCCCCCATAATCCGGATGTTCCTCTATTCCAGGAGAAGAAAAGGACAAGTCGAGTACCATTTAGAAGGGAACACAATGAGGCACATTGGTATAATGCATTCTTTCATACACTCATACAACAACATCTAGATATGCGAGATGAAGAAAAATTCAAATTTTTTTATTTATTAATTTAATTTAAAGCTAAAATGTAACGTCTTGGTCCTGTTTTCTGGGATAAAGTAGACATAAATAAATGATTACCTTCTATCTCTCCACCAGAGGAGGCTATGTTGGCCAGATTCAGGTACGTGGTGCCGATGGCATCATTTCCTGTCAAACGATCCCTGCAGTCACACATAACAACTTCAGGCCCAGTCCGCACAAACATGCACACATAGACACATAGCCCGCACTCGTGTGATTAACTGTAAAATGACATGCAAATGTCACAGTGTATCTGCGGTGTTACGCTCTGCTTTGTCCACTACCACTATGAAGTAGGACATTGAACAATGGCTCACATTTTATTGCTTTTTGTTGGAAGTTTTGGGGTGTTTTCTGTTTTTTCTCTCTTATTTTCAACACCTAACAGACTTTTTTCTAACCTTTTCCTCTGGCACTTTTTTTTCTATCCAGCTTTCCTGGAGCCGAGTTATCTGACAGTTGCTTTTCTCAGAAACACACAATAATGTCCCGAGAGTCAGTGCCAGCCGAGCATGTTATTCAGGGAAGGGTGTGGCTAGCACAGCATTATTCTCTTAAAGCTAGTATTAGGACAAGGATATGCACACACATGCGTGCACACACACACTGACAACACTACACAAACTTTGTGCAATACTTTTTCAGCCAAAAGCAAGTGCCTCGTATTTTCTTTAGTAATAATAAAAAAAAAAAAAGAAGAAGAACAGAAAACTACATTTAAACCGTAATCGTATTTAACTTACCAATCAAACACCGTTAGTTTGACACGCTCACACATGGAGGGGAACTAGAGACACACACACACACAAAAAAAAAAGCTTAAACACACTAATTTCTCTGTTACTTTCTGCTATTTAGCTTTTATCTTAAGGAGCACTACCTTGACTTGAAGGTTCAGTACTTCGTTCCACTCTGGGTTGGCATTCGTCTCAATGATTTGTGTGCACAACTGGAGAGGCAGAATAACACACATCAGCATTTTTTCTCTATAGGATAAGAATAAAAAAAATCTAATTTTCTTAATCTAACATTATAGCCCCAAAAAAGGAGGAAAATCGAGAACCTTTCTGCCAGCAAAGCTAGCCTCCAAAAAGGGATCCACCAGGTTTTTCTTGTTTGCTTCTCCTCCAAAAATTTCTTTCAAATTCTGGACAAATGCATCATCCACTGTAGCAAGAAAACAGTTGTTAGGTAATAAATATATAATCTTAAATGCTTATATGCTGATTATTATTGGTTTATATGAGAGAGGCCCAGACTTTAGTGTAAAACTAGGTTACAGGCTGACCGGAAACTGCATGTTTTTGTAGAATATGAGCTCCAGACAGAGTGAAACTAAGTTCAGACAGAAGGGTGACAGGTTGCCCTCGCAACAGACTTTAGAAAGAGGAGGTTATTGCAAGCTGCACAGGAAGTTTTAGTGCACAGGCATATCAATAAAATCAGACACAGAAAAGAGGAACTGAATAGAAGAAGTTTTGTGTGTAATGAACAGAGATGGGCAGTAACGAGTTACTGTAATCCGATTACTTTTTTCAAGTAACGAGTAAAGTAAGGGATTACTATTGCAAAAAC